GCTTGGTGCCATTGTCGTCGATCGTGGTGCCTATGGTGGTGCTTGGTCCTGGTGAGTTCTACGGCACGGTCGATTTGGTGGTGCTTGGTGCCACGGTCGGTGTTGGTGGTGCTAGTCTTGGTGCTGTTGTGGTGCTAGTCCGGTCTTAGTGCTTGGTGCCATGGTGTCGATCATGGTGCTTATTGTGGTGCTTGGTCCTGGTCTTGGTGTTGGTGCCATGGTGCTTGATCGTGGTGCTTATGGTGGTGCTGGTCCTGGTCTTGGTGCTAGTGCCATTGTGCTTGATCATGGTGCTTATGATGGTGCTTGGTCCTGGTGAGTTCTACGGCACGGTCGCGATTTGGGTGGTGCATGGTGCCACGGTCGGTGTTGGTGGTGCTAGTCTTGGTGCTACTTGTGGTGCTAGTCCGGTCTTGGTGTCGGTGCCATGGTTCTAATCGTGGTGCTTATTGTGGTGCTTGGTCCTAGTCTTGGTGCTTGGTGCCATGGTGCTGATCATGGTGCTTATGGTGGTGTTGGTCCTGGTCTTGGTGTTGGTGCCATGGTGCTAATTGTGGTGCTAGTCCTGGTCTTGGTGCTTGGTGCCATGGTGCTTGATCGTGGTGCTTATGGTGGTCTTGGTCGTGGTCTTGGTGCTTGGTGCCATTGTGTCGATCGTGGTGCTTATGGTGGTGCTTGGTCCTGGTGAGTTCTACGGCACGGTCGGATTTGGGCAGTGCATGGTGCCACGGTCGGTGTTGGTGGTGCTAGTCTTGGTGCTACTTGTGGTGCTAGTCCGGTCTTGGTGCTTGGTGCCATGGTGTCGATCGTGGTGCTTATTGTGGTGTTGGTCTGGTCTTGGTGGTGGTGCCATGGTGCTTGATCGTGGTGCTTATGGTGGTCTTGGTCCTAGTCTTGGTGCGTGTGCCATTGTGCTGATCGTGGTGCTTATGGTGGTGCTTCGGTCTCGGTGAGTTCTACAGCACGGTCGGATTTGGGCTGGTGCATGGTGCCACGGTCGGTGTTGGTGGTGCTAGTCTTGGTGCTGTTGTGGTGCTAGTCCGGTCTTGGTGCTTGGTGCCATGGT